GAGTAACTTACCCCCAAAATTAACTTTTTTTAGCTGTCTAAAATGTTATATAGTACTGTTTCTGTGCTAATTTTGATGTTTTTGTGCCTATTTGTTCAAATCTGTAATATTTGGTCATAACAAACGTGTTTGCTTCTATGATTATATGTTAGAACGGCCTGCCCTAAATTCCAGTACCCGGATGAGACCGGTTGCCATCCACACTCTGTCCCCGCTCATCGTTGCCGGTGGGGCGGATCACACTGATCGACCAGTTGGTTTCAAAGAAGCGCCGACAGACGTGCTCCACCGCCGTGTCTTTCAGCCAGAGATCCGAGCCTTTGATTTGCTGCTTTAATCTCCGCACACACGTCTATCCGCACGATGGGAGAGCGAGAGCACCTCGTTTATCAGGCGAAGCTTGCTGAACAGGCAGAGCGGTATGACGGTAAGTGAGACCGGAGCTCCGGCCGGGAGTGGGTCATGTTCACCGCACAGATTTTTTTTTTTCCGCTATTAGCTAACGGAGCAGCACTAGCTTAGTGAAAGCTGTAGCAAGCTAAGCTTCAGATGCTAATTAGGCTACAAATGTTTATTTTCTACTAACTGTTCATTGATGTAATATATTGCTTGTTGTAAATTATAAATTATTAGGACGTTATGGGAACTTGGCACGCACCATTACATTTTGTTCGCCTTTTAATAAAACGTAAATGCTAGTGAGAGTTAGCTTTGAGGCTACAACAAAATGGCGGATTATTAAAGCCGTCAGGAGCTGGCTCCCCTGCACCATGCTGTTTCTGTTAGCTTCAGTAGAGCTGCTCGGCTGAGATTCTGCTGCTTTATGCTAACCTAATGGGTTCAGGGTGGGTTCTGTGGGGAAATAAAATCGCTTTAGAGGTTAACTGGATGCACGGAACCCGCTGTGTGTGCTGGGGGGTGGGAGCGCAGCTGTTCCTCGTCGGTGGGGTGTTCCCCCTGCAAGCTGGCTGCACAGATCATCGATCGGCCAAGATGACTCGGGTCTTCGTCTGTCTCTCAGCCCTGTCGCTGTCATACCATTACAGGCCGCGTTAGAGGCTGTTTTTAGTCCGGTCCTTGCCACACGTTGCCCAGTAACGTCAAGTGAATGCATTATGACTCATTCAAGGGGTTTGGACCGAGACTGCTAACACAATGATTTATGCTTCAGTGACTAAATTGTAACCTCGCTGGAATGTTGTTGAAAAGGTGATGGTACTTTTTTCACAAAGTTAGTTCACGGCAACATGTTAAAGGATAAACTGAAGTGGCTCCTGCATCAGTGTGGGAAAACATCAGGCCCTGCCCCAGACCAGGTCAAGGTTGCTGGGTCTAAACCCATCTGATGGTCTTTTGGGTTGGGTTTGATGAGACATTATACTGTTTTTAGATACTATATAACATCTAAATCAGTGGTTCTTAACATTTTTTGATGTACCGAACCCACCAGTTTCGTATGCACATTCACTGAACCCTTTTTAGTGATAAATAAAATGTGCCCCCCCACCAACCCCCCCACCCCAAATTCAAGATAGGTAAATGTTTTTTTTACAGGTGTATAAAATGAGCCGTGCACGAACATCACCTTGCTCAAAGAACAAAACCAACACAGTGCGTGAACTCACAGTAAATTACAGTATGACTTTATTCTGGCCCACAAAAAATATTTTGGCTCCATAAAAAATTTCAGCCTCCCAAAAATACATATATTTTTACTGTTTTACTAATAAAAAATAAATTAGGATTTATTGAAGAATTTAACATTTTTAACAACTTTTTTTAAATTTTAAAGTTAATTTGTTTTTTGTCATTTTGAATCCACAAAATACTTTTTTGGGGCCAGCACTGATTGGCCAAGAAATCTCACGTGATCCTCTGCAGCAAGTGATGGCCAAGCAGGGCGTGTCATCACGACTTGACACAAGTGTGTCTTTACCTGCAGCAGAGGCTCCCCGAACCCCTGAGACCGGCTCATTGAACCCCTAGGGTTCGATGGAACCCCTGAGACCGGCTCATTGGACCCCTAGGGTTCGATGGAACCCCTGAGACCGGCTCATTGAACCCCTAGGGTTCGATGGAACCCCTGAGACCGGCTCATCGGACCCCTAGGGTTCGATGGAACCCCTGAGACCGGCTCATTG